AAGTTATTTACATACGCAACGTGTAAGACTTAATTAAGACATTAGATTGTTTACTTTTCAAGTATTATTAAATATTTAAAATATAAATATAATATTTAACCTTTAAATGGTGTATATATTAATATGTAATGGGGCTCCTGCTCTCTCAAATGTGCTCGTTGTTCAGAGTTTAGGAATCGCTGCTTTTTATTGTTTCGAAGAGGACTATTTTTTTTTTTTTAAAGATGGTCGAGTGTATTGAGGTAAAATAAAATTACCATAAGAATTTTAAAATACATTGGAGTCCCTATATGTGAGAATACGAATATTGTTTATGTACGGGAAACTATTTTACGCTAGTCGCGTCAAAAATATTATATTCTATGATCATGGAACAAATGCTTTATTTTTTTCTTAGATAGACTAATTAATATAGACAACAGAACGTCATGAAACTTACTCCACTTTGTTTCTGGAAAAATATTTTAATTATTCACAACATTTACAAGGGAACAACCGGAGGGTATTTAAAAATTATTTTTAGATAGTTGAAAAATTCCGATTTGAGAATTTTTATTGTTTAATTTTATTGTTTTATTAATAGTTAAGTTTAAAAAATATTTCGAATATACGCACTTCTAAGTAAGTCAACGTTCATTAAAAATTAATTTTTAAGATTGTTGATCAGATTTTAAGTTTAGTAATAACACTTGTACGTCATTTATTCGAAATGTTCATCATGATTCGTATTGAGTGTAAAAAACATTTTGTTTCTAAGTATCATTAATCTATAAGATTATCTAACAACAGACGGGTATTGATGATAAAATTAAATTTGTAAAAAACTTTTTTTAAAACCTTCACTTGCCTTCCATATTAATATAACCAAGAAAAATAAATAAATAAATAAATAAAAATAAAATGCAATCAGTGAACTTGTGATTATGGTAAAAACAACTGAACTACGCTTTTATAAAACAATTATTGTCAAGATGTGATTTTTATCTTTAAGGATTTTCCATAAACTCAATTTGAATATCAGTATTCAAAATATAAATTATATTTTTATAATTTTTAATTATCATATTATATTATATCATATTATAATCAATTATAATAATTTTTAAGAAATATATTATTTGTTTTAAGGATTTAAAATTAAACTTCCGTTTTATTATTTTTTGAATGTGAATTAATACCAATCGATATTAACTTTCACATATTTTGCACCTATTAATATAATTATAGAGTATTTTTAATAGACGCAGAATAATTATTGTATAAGATTTAATAAACATATAGTTAAGATAAATAAAAATACTATACCAACATTCATATCATTATATTATACTAAAGCCATTTTATAGGTAATTATTATAATAAGGATAGTTGTACTATTGTCCATTAATTAAATATTAAAAAAAAAATCATCAATGGCTGTACGCTGTTCGAGCCATATGTATTCTTGTGTACAGACCTCATTATCTCGACCACAATCAAAAAACAGAAAATTTATGTATATACATATATAATGTATTATTTTTGACTATATCGCGTGCAGTATTTTTCGAAAGGTAAACTCAATATTATATGTAGATAAAAAAAAAAATATACATATCTACCCGAAATCATTAAAACATTTGACACTGACTGTAATGTTATGATTAGTTATTGGCACAATACGTATTTAATTTTAAGTTTGACCAACCTATTCGTGTTATAATAGTAGGTATGTCACAGAAATTTCATAAATATATAATATATGCGTAGTCAGGCTGTACATTTTAATTTTCAAGTATTAATTAGCACTGTTATAATTTGAAAAAAAAAATGATGTCTAAGTAATTTTGTTACGAAAGTCTAACCGTGTAGAATATTTCGACGTAGTGACTAGCAGTGCCGTGCTTAACATTATTAGTACCCGGTGCCAAAAATTATTTTAGTGCTCTTATCCCCTCTTCCATGTATGTTTATACCTATAAAGAGATAACATAAGAATGGGGGAGAGAATTTCGTTAGATTTACCATTTTTTGCACATTTTTAACTTAATGGATTAGTAATATTATATTTAAACTGTACACGTAGAATAAAAAATATTAATAGATAGGTACTTATCATACTAAACTGGTATCATTTATTTACGATTCAAATTTGTTCGATTGAATAAAAAATAACTTATCTTCAAATAAATGCTAATAAAAAATAACTTTGTACCTATTTCTGCAATGAGGTTCAAAATAATATCGTACAACGTATTCCAGTCGAAATTCTGTTATTAAATTATTAATTGAACAAAATAACAATAATAATGCAGTGTACATAAATTTATAGTATATTATTGTTATTGACGATCAACGACGTCGTTATTTCGGGATAAAAATTTAAACCAATTACATCCATACATGAATAGATATTTTCACATAATTGTCTATAATACATTTCAAAACGTTATCTCATCGCCAGTCAAAATAATGAATCGACATCACCGATCAGGATGATATCATTATACTGAAACCGTTATAAAGTACCAATTAATATGGTTAACTTTCATCTATCAGTAATATTACTTAGATTAAAAAAATGTTTTGGCTCCCGGTGCATACGCACCTCTCGCACTTCCCTATTTATTTTGTAGGCACGGCACCACAGTGACTAGTGTTCCAATTAAATAACTATCGCGAATCAGTCTAAACCCCCCGCTAAGGCGCTAAGGGAATGGTTGATATTATGATAAAACGTATATACTGATTATACTGTTTCGAGATAAACAAAATATAATTATAATAACTTAGTCACAACGAGACATTACTAAGTACGCGTAGTGATCATTTTAGACCGACGACTGTGCGACTGATTGGTATCTAATAATATTACAGATGTAATAATAATGAGCGCAGTGAAATTAATGGAAATGCTGAGAATAGGTAAGCGACAATGTCATACTGGGAGATTCCATTGTTGGCAAAATAATATTAATACTACCATCACTAAGAACAATGATAATAATAATAATATTAAATTTTCCACCAAATGCCATCATGCTAATAAATAACGTAAATAGTAAATACGAATATTTGTATAATACACAACGAATAAAGCGTTTTATTTTTAGATTTTAATTCGCTTAATATTTATAGAACATTATTTTAAACACAAATAACGGGTTATCAATACTTGCTATATTTTTATTTTATTGTATAGATAACTAATTATCTGTATTTTAATTTATTTCCAATAACATTTTAATATAATACGTGTACGTACGCAAATATTTATCATACAAAAAATTCATATTTTTTCATATAACAAGAATTACAGTTGAAAAATTAATTACTATTTAATATTATTTTCTCAAGTCAGATATTTAAATATTATGAATATTTGTAAAAACATACTGATTCGTAAACTTTTTTCTACAATACTCATATAAACCAATTTTGTTTTAAATGTAGTGATAATTTATAAGTTATTACCTATCCAAAATAAGTTACAATAACGAAATATCTTAATCGCTAACCATATGTATTTTATTTTTTCTTAAATATTATATTTGTATAACAATAATTGAAAAGAGTATGTATTACGTATTTGAGGCATTGTTTACACAACCGGTTATTCATAAAAATATAACTTAATCACATGGCATTTAGAAAATTAACAGTAATGGATTTACCGCATCATGAAAGTTCTCAGATTATGATAATGTGTTTACCAACGAACAAATCATTAAAAAAAACTCATTTTAACAGCATTGAGTTACTATTATATTTTCACATTTACCTCATATTAGGGTTATAACTTATAATTATCAAAATACTTATACATTGTTGATTGTCACTTATCATTGACCATATATTATTTATTCAATGTCTAATGCGAATTTAGAAATTTAAGTAACTTTATTATTTATATCTGCTACAAGAGCTTTGAATAATTTCAAAAGCAATTCACCGTAATGAACTTCAATCATATCAAGCTGGTAAATAAAAGGTTGATAAACAACTAATATTACAATAATATCCGGTGGTATATCAACATATGAACAGCAATGTCTCCTGATGACAAAAGTTATAAAAAATCAAAACGTATGTTTTATTCAATCAATTACATACATAATTTTTTTTTTATTTTTTTTTTTGAAATTACAATTAAAAACTGTCATATTATAATCATCTACTAGACTGTATTTTATGAGAATTTATAGCTTCTAAAAGTTCTCTCTAATTCAAAACTATTTCCCTCTAAATAATTGGGTATTTATAAATTAGGGACCAAACTATTTTTGATAAAGTTCAACTGAAAAAAAAAATTTGATCTTTGAAAATTATGTCGGAATAATTGTAGGGATTGATATTGAAAGAAAAATACGTTAAAATTAAATAGGTAAACAATATTAAAATGTATAATTTAGATATAAGTGTTTAGCAGATGGTGAAATATTTCTATATAATTATAAAATAAATAAATACTATTATAAATTTTATTTAAGTTGAGACGTTACATATTATTATCAAGTATCTAGATTTAAACTTAAAAAAGTTTTTCGACGACAATATGTGAGTATAGCTTGGTAGTTACATCTAATTATTTTTAAACTTATAAAAATGCTATTTTATTTAGATAAATAGACTATAAATATTCTTGTAAAGCAGCATTACTTAAACATTTACATTTTCTTCGCTTAAAATCAAAAAACGCGATAATATTGTGGTTCAATAAATAAATAAAAAAATATAAGGGATTGACTTTACTTTAAAATCATTAACTTTTAACCTTTGTTAAATACAATAATATTCTCTACGTAAATAGTACGATGCAATCCAACAGCTTATTATGGAAAGCTAAGCAAGCTGGATGGTACATACAAGTATTTAACAAAAAACAAAAAATAAATTCCGTTTTAAAACATTATAATACAATAATGGATTCGCCATGAATAAAAATATTTCTTTATTGAAATTTATTACTAACAGAACAATTTTTATTTTTAGTACGGTTATAATAATTACGTTGACTAAATATTTACACGAAAGTATACAAAATAAAATAAAAGTCCATGGTTGGTAATGTAATAATTTTTAAATTAAAGCTATAATAGCAGTCCACGTTGCGTTGCGCACATGATAATAATAATTCGACTGATTAAAGGTAAAAAGGAATAAGCGACATGAGTTGTATTAACTATGGAAAAAGCAATAGTTCAGGAATTTTATTGTGCTAGTGTTTATGTTCTTTTTTTAGTAAAAATTTAGAAATTTTATGTATTTTAATCACTAATTTTGAGACCAATGACATTTTCTAACAGGACATAAAAATTACACCCTTTTCTGACTTTTACCAGTCGATATTTTATCGAACCGCTTATCTCGTCCCAGCAACAATGCGTTTAGAAGAACAAGAATTTTCGGTCACTAGCGTTCTTGACAACGTCATTATGTAACTGTCGCAGAGAAGTGTACATCCTCGCCTCCCGGACACCACTTCTGTTGACAACTGTCACGCGTACACCCGCGAACGATCTCGGATCCAACGAATCTGGTGATGTGCAGGGATTGTCCTTGTCTAAGTGCACTTCATACCGGGAAACTAGCATGGCAACGATGAGCTTTGCTTCGAGTTCTACGAAATGTTTACCTGCAAACATAGAATATATTATACCATTAACTATTGTGAGCAGTGATTGAAAATTGGCCTAACCTAAACCGTGGCAATCATGACTATATTTCCTACTAAAACTAAATGCGTTCTATATAGTATGATTTACCAAACATGCTCACCTAAATTTTTTTTCGACAATGCAGTTATTTAAAAACTGATTTTTAGAATTCTTAAATATACTTTAATACCATGTTTTCAGTCTTAAGATTTTGTGTATCTACAATATGTAAAAATACAAACTTCTGTTTTTAAAATGATAACCTCCCTCTTTTATATCATTAAAATTGGGGGTAAATCAATTGTGCCGAAATTACCATTTTTACCCGTAGAAAATTTATCGATTGCACCGAATAACAACTCCACCAAAATTTTTTATATACTGATTTCAACACGAGGTTAAAAAAAATTGTGATTATCTATGTGATAATTATATTGATGAAACATCAAAATTTAATCTAAAAATATGAGCGTCGTTTTTCAGAAATTTCTTCAGAACGAACAACTAACAGTAGTAAATCAATCTATTTAAAACTTAACAAGCAATTGATCAAAGCATATCCAAAAACATTTTTATTTTCCCATGTATTAAATTTAAAGATACTAACTGAATTTTATTTAATAATAAGAGGGCTAAACAATAATAAAATAAACAAAATAAAAATTACGAAATTAAAAAAAATATGCAACAAAATTTTTTGACAGTTATTTTAATGAAAAAAAAATTATATATTAACTTATATAAAACTGGCATCAAACCGCTATTTAAAAAAAATAAATCAACTTACATTGTATTTAATCGCTTTTTTACCACAATATAATGTCTAATTGTGTTATATATTTCGTCGTGGACGACAATTAATTATTTTTTGAAATGTTTTTATTTGAAAAATAAAAATAATAATATGTTTAACTGTGCGTCCTTATACTATTAGTTAAAAAATATACTTTATATAACTAACATTAATAAATATTTGATAGAATTAATGTGTATAGACAAGATTCGGTCGGAATCTATTGCCGTTAGAATCGATAATATCGTTTAAAATTATTTAGTGGACTGTTTCTCCAAACATCATTATACGTATTACAATTGAAATTTGAACTAATAACTTTTGAATTATTTAACTTCTTATAAGTAATAAGGATAATGTATTCATGATAATTGATTTAGAATATATCATAGAAGCTATAGTGGTTATGGTTTATAAAATTGATCTATCAATATTAATATAATTCTTAAAGATGTTCCAAGTATAAATAAATATTAGATCTAATATTATGTCTATTTTTATTTTTATATAACCATTTTTAAGGACTATTATCTGTATAAACGTTTTAATAACTTAAAAACTACCCATTTGAATTTTTAAATAAATACATCAAAATTATTAAAAATAATATCTACTAAATAATTCACAGTAAAAAAGGGTTTTTCATTTGAAAAAAAAAATACCACCATAGAGTACCACTAAGCACTAAACATAAATTTAAGGTATTGAAAATAATAACTTTCAGTATATTTAAATATTCCAATAATTAGATCTATTAAAGAAAAAAATAGGAATACATTTTAGTTTTCATGTGTTATAGAAACATTGAACAATAAACATATTATCACTTAACTCCTTTATTATCCATTTAATATTCCATCTGTATTAGGTAAATGTGTGTATTACATGTAATAAAATATTATCAATAGCTATGTACTTGTATATATATATATATATATATATTGTGCTATTGTAGTATTTAATCTAACCACATAGTGTAAGATAAATCATATCAGTATGGCTTGGACCATATTTAGGTAAGTTGGACTATAGTAAAATGTAGTAGATAGACATTATGTACTATACACCATTAAATAATTCATACCAATAATTTAAATACAACATTTAATTTAACATATTTCATAGTTTTTTAAGAGACTTTTTTCAAAACAAATTAAATTATTAGAAATGTTTAATAATCATCGCATACCTAATTTAGAACGGGGTTAAGCTCACTCTTCTAAGTCCTCAGGACGATTAATTCTGAATAGCTGTTCTCCCTGGATGATCTTCTATAATGGAGGTTAGGTAGAATAATGTTTGACAAAATGATTATAGTAATTATTTAAAGATGTAAGATTTTCAGAATTTATTTAAGTACTTATCAATTTTTCAGAAATAAACTAAATTAATTTTGTAATTTTTGCTACAAATTCTGGCTCGATAAATTGAAACAGACAATGTTAGGCATAAAAATGCTGACATTATTAATGTTGTAATATTTTATCAAACATTTTAATTACGTATCATATATTATGTGAAAATAATAGTACTTTTAAAATTATTTTATTAGGTATATCAAATTACTTTTATTAAAACGTGATTAAATTCCGGTTCCTGTTAGAAATTTTTAATTAGATTTGATATCATGATATAAATCACTGTCGATTAAATATAATAATATGTAAAAAACAAAAATACAATAAAAGTATAATATTAAATATATTTTATATGATAAATATACATAATATAATACATAGTTTTAAAGATATCATTATATATATTATATAATTATGTTTTTTATTTCTCTCCGTAATAATTATGATATAAGTACCATTGTTATGGGCTACGAGATGTACTAATAATATAATATAATATAATATAATATTCATGAGCTACGAGATATGCTAATATGTAATATATGTGTAATATTGCTATAGGTATTAGCAATAGTGATCTAAATATATATGTGATCTAATAATTATAATGTATACGAATATTAGATTCATATTTTGTAAAAACATTGTAATAAATCAAAATAGTAGTTCTTAGGCGAGGTCGTTTTGCGTTTATAAGAATTGCCAGTAAGACGATAACATCCTGGAGATTGTTGTTTCAAATGTGAAAACAATTCCAAGAATTAATCTAAATTGGAAGGTTAACGATTACAACAACAAGAGATTTTCTTGTATATAAGGGAGTCCGAAGACCAACAAGGGCAGATGTACCAGAGCTACGAAGAACAGAGCAACTTCACGACACTCAGCCACTTCTTATATCAGTTACATGTATTTTATTTATACAGATTAAACATTATTGTAATTAAAAGTTGTACAATTCATTTTAATAACACCTTGGATCTGGATCTGATATTGGCACGCAACACCATACATAAATATACATAGTATAATATGTATTTATTATACATATCAACTCTTGAATCACGCGTATTTAATTTTAACGTAAATAAGTTTCACCATAGTATCGCATAAAATATTTATGTTTGAATTATATTCCAAATTCCTATTATATTTTAGTTTCTGGTTTTACAACTTTAAAAAATTTAACTGCTATTTATTTACTATTGAAATGTTAAACGTAATGTTCCTTTTTAAAGTAATAAAAATAGCTAAACATTTACACCTGATAATTAAGAATTATTAAACTGCGAAACATATTATAATTAACAAGTATCATATTTCAACATTAAGTTTTTCTTTGTAAAAAAAAAAAATATATTTATAAATATATTTTTATTTACTTAACATAATTAAGTTTTTCAAGTATTATAATAATTTGTTCTAAAGCCATTGACTAATCAGTTGACCAAAACTTGACTAATAATTATGATTATAGTTTTATTTATCTATTTATATTTATTCAATTTTGTATTATTTGTTAGATAATCTAATGTAATGGATATAAATTTAATGATATATCTTACACTTTTAATTTTAAAAATCAACTTGTTGATGCATTCATTTTTTCAATTATGTTTTCTTCTAAACTACATTAATATCAATTAAATATACCTTCTAAGCAAGATAAATAAGTTTCATGTTAATTTTATCAAAGAAAAAGTTAAAAACAAAACAAAGGGTACCAATAATTTAAAGAATAATTATTCTGGAGTAAAATAAATTTATAAGCTTTAGCGTATACATAAAAGTTTTTTACATTAAATGTTTTAATTACTATACAATGTAAGAAAGTCAAATACATTAATACATGTAGTAATATATATTTTTTTTTATTAAATTGACATAATAATGGTAATTATTAGATAAGAAGTTAAATTAATTTTAGTTCAGCGCAGTATTTAGTTTTAAAGTAGAAAATGAATAATGTATAACAATAGCTGTCATTCAACTTTTGTAGATTTATATTTTCAGAATGAATGTAATAATCGAGTAAGTGTAGTAACTTATGATTGTCAAAAATAACAATTATATTTTTAATCATTACAAAAAGATCAAAATTTCAATTAAAAAAAAAAAAAAAAAATGATAAATTACAATATACAAATGGAATTAAAATTAACATAGAACATAGAAGGAGTTAAATATAATAAAAATAATAATATGACTGATTGAGTTGCTATTACGTGTAGTTTTAGAAAAAAAGAATTATTTTTGCTATACATATTCAGGTAAATACTTGTATCGAATATTGAAGAACATTTATTCATATCAGTTGACAATATAAATAAAATTATGAAAATATAATGTTCTTCTACGCGTGAGTATACAATGAAGTATTGAAATGAAGGAAAATAGGTCACTACGAATAATGTCACAAATATATATATATATTATTTTGAATTGCAATGTTATGTACATGTTAACGTTCATATACAATATCAAAGTAAAAGCTCTTAAAAAAAAACACACCTCACATCCTACACACTTCAACGAACTCCAGTTGCAAATATACATCATATTATATAGCACTTCCCAGGTCAACAATATGTATATAATAAATTATTATATTTCTTCTTTGACGATAATTTTTCATGAAACTATGTAATAAATTATTTAATATACCAAATAATAGTTATAAGAATATTAGTATTGTTATTTATCTATAGTTTTTGAATCGATATGTCTATACAGTTAAAAATATTTTTACATAAATACGTACGATATTAAATCACTCGTATACATGTATATTGTATAGCCATCATGAACTGAAATGATTAAAACGTAA